TGGTCTTCGCTCATTAGTGTTCAAGGCCTCAAACCTCTTCCTGAGATGATTCTGAAATTCAGGTGGTATGAAATCAAAGTCAAAGGTGCACGGGGAGGAAGAGATTAATCATCGAGTTGTACAATTTGATGGGGGGCTTTGTGAGGGAAATGGAAGAATTTGTTTAAATTTGTATTTGAATTTTGTAAATAAACTAGTTATTGTTCTTGTTGTTATGTGCCATCGAGTCACTTGCGACTCATAGTGAGCCTATGTACAACAGCCCTAAACTCTGCTCTGTCCTGTGCCAATCACATTGTCTTCCGATACACCCTTCCCAATTACCCCAGTCACTGAATCAATCCACCTCATAGAGGGCCTTCCCTTCCTGCGCTGTCACTCCACCCTACCAAGCATGATGTCCCTCTCCAAGGATTGGTCCCTCCTTACAACATGTCCAAAGTATGTTAGACGGAGCCTCAGAATGCTTGCCTCCAAGGAGCCGCCCGGTTTCACACTTTTCAGGATGAATCTGTTTGTTTTCCTAGCAGTCCATGGTACTCTCAATACTCTTTTCCAGTACCACAGCTCAAAGGCATCAATTCTCCTTCTATCCTCCTTAGTCACTGTCCAACTCTCTGATGGAAAATAAGTTATTGCAAAGACCATGGCCTGTATCAGATGCACCTTAGTCTCCAGAGAGACACCATTGCTCTTCTTCAGTACTTTGGAGAGGTCCCTAACAGCAGACTTTCATATCGCAATACGTCTTTTAATTTCCTGGCTACTGGTGTCGAGAGTGTTGATTGTGGAGCCAAGCAAATTAAAGCTGTGAACAATCTCAATCTCTTCAACATTCATCCTGTTGCTGCCAATTGGTCCAGTGGTGAGAATCTTTGTCTTCTTGACATTGAGTCTCAGTCTATATTGGAGGCCACAGTCCTTGACCCTCTGTACCAAGTGCTTCAGGTCCTCCTCAGTTTCAGCAAGCAGGGTGTATCATCTGCATAACACAGATTGTTGATGAATCTTCCACCAATCTTGACCCCACATTTCTCCTCATAGAGCCCAGCCTCCTGGATAATCTGTTCTGCATACAGGTTGAAAACGTATGGAGACAGGACACATCCCTGGGGTACGAATTATTCTTTTTGGAATCTGGGGCAACCACCGGCTACGTAAGATGTTGATGGATGTCATCAAATCCATTCCTACTCATGGTGATTCCTGTGAGAAGGTGCTCTCCCAGGGTATGAACTCTACGTTGGCTGATGGGCATGTTCTTCTCTGGAGCAGTTGCCCAGTGGCTGCTCTTTGGTCTGTTAGCCAAGCACTTAACTCGTATCACCAGAGTTCCTTCCTCGAGCTGCTGCTGCCTTAAGTAATGAGTCTTGATTCCACTAGGCACCTTGGCCCATCCTGCGACACCCAGAGCCCACGTTGAGGGGTGACTGGTGAGGTGGAAGGTGTGCTCAGCAAAGGTTCTCCTCATCAGGCAATCCCAGTTCCATTTCTATCCCCTGTCATCCCTTCCAGAGGGCCAAGTCGATTTACTTGGCTATGTGCCTATGTGAAGGAGCCCCGGTGTTGCTGTAGGCCAAATGGTGGGCTGTTAACCTAAAGGTCAAGGGTTTGAAGACGTGGCAGTGTGCTCTGGTGAAGATTACACCCTTGGAAACCCTGCAGGGCAGTTCTCTGTCCAGCAAGATTCATATGAGTTATAATCGACTTGAAGGCACTTTGTGAGATCCAGAGAGGGGTGCTAGGGACACCTGGTCTGTGGAGGCCACGGGTACCACTTATTGTCCCATGGGGCATAGTGACAGCCCCAGCCCACCCCAGGATGCCAGCAGTGCCAAGAGTGAGAAGTCCTGCCTAAGAAGGCAGTGGGTAGGTCTGCACCTGCAGAGTCATGGACAAGTCGTCTGGCAGGAGGTCTCAATTCTGTGGGGGCACAATGCCAGTGTATAGTGTGCAGCCAGCCACCATGGGACTGTGGGTGCTTCACTTTCAAGCTGGGCAGGACCTGATGGTTTGGCCAGAGAAAGGCTGGGTCCTGTGTACTGAGAAGCTGCTCAGGCCTCCCAGATTCTCCTCCCTCGGCCCCACCCAGGGCGAGCTGCAGTTGTTCACCTCAGTCCTGCACAGCCCGAGAACTCTGACCCCAAGAGCCAATCCGGAAGTGGCAGCCCAAAGACGCCATGGAGCTGGCTCTCCTGGCCATCCTTCTGGCTCTCCTCCCCGGAGATCTGCAGGGGAACGAGACCCCTCAGGTTCTCCTGGCTGACCTCTCCAGTGCCCCGGAGATATCGCTGGAGGCAGGTAGGACAAATTCATGGATGTGCTGCATGAGGGTATGTGTGCAGGAGGCAGGCAGCCTGGGTGCATGGGTAGGTAGTGGCAGGTAAGAGGCCCTAGTGGTACAAAGTTTAAGAGCTCAGTTGCTGAGCCAACGGCCGGGTAGTCAAATTCACCAGCAGCTCTCAAGAAGAAAGGTCTGCCAAACTGCTCCCACAAAAATTTGGAGCCTCAAAAACCCAAGGGGTAGTTGTACTCTGTGGTGTGTGGGGAAGCAACTCAGTGGCTACTGCTGATGAAAACAATAGGAGCTGGAACCAGGGTGGGGTTTAACCCAACCCTGGGGGGCCTGGACACAAGGGTATGGCTTAGACTCAGATCTCCTCACCTCCTGGCTCTCCACAAGGACCCGAGGGCAGCCGTTGGGAGGTCCCACAAGGCTCCAGAGAGTTGTCACTCATTCTCTGCTGTGTCCAGTCCTCACTGCTCAGGCCTGTCTCTGCCCATCATGCTTGGCTGATCAACTAGTCCACCCCACACAGGCCACCTCGCATGCCCAGCCTCTTACCTGTGAAGTAGTGGAGAAGATGGGTGGGTCTGGGGGGCCTACAGAAGGACTCAGAGACTCTCCCCGCAGTGTGTGGGCGGCCAAGTCCCTCCAGTCGCATCCTGTTAGGGCAGGACGCCAAGTCTGGCCAGTGGCCATGGCAGGTCAGCATCCAGGAGTATACGACTCACGTGTGCGGAGGCTCCCTGATCGCTGAGGACTGGGTGCTGACTGCTGCCCACTGCTTCAGCCAGTAAGTACCTTGGGGGATGCCGGGGAGCTGGGGTTGGTGGGTGCTCCTTTCTCCAGCCCCCAACACTTGCATTGTGGGACTGGAATGACAGTCCTCCCAATCTACCCCCTCAGATGAGATGCAGGGAAACTCCCTCTCCTGGGTTACACCTGTCCACTCACGATGGCCTCTGCCCCAGGCCAAGTGTGGTGTGGGGAGAGAGAATGAGGGGTGAGACCGTCCATCCCAGACATGCACTCCACCACCTGAAAAATGATTCCTGCCTTAGGCCAGGTTCTCCAGAGGAGCAAGTCCAAGGAAGCTTGCTCTCTGAGGAAGCTTGCTCTCCAAGAAAGCTTGCTCTCTGTTTCTCTTTCTCTCTCTCTCTCAGAGAGCCATCAAGCCCTAACGCTTATCCAGTGTTTGGTGGTTCAAATCCATCAGCCACTCCACAAGAGAAGGAGGGACAGTCTCCTGCAATAGACATTTTCAGGCTTAGACATCAGATGGAAAGTCATTACGAGTCAGAACTGACCTGACGACACTGGGTCTACAGAAAGAGTTTTGTTTCAAGGAAAGGATTTGTGTGCTTATGGCAGGACTGCAGGTCAGATGTCAGGAGGGAGGTGTCTGCAAGGCTGATGAGTCTAAGTTTGGCCGACCGGTCCAGGGTTGGCCGACAGGGTGACAGACAGTAGGCTTCACTGACTGACCATTTCAGGATTGACAAATAAAGTGGGTGCTGGTTTGAGTCTGGAGGTGAAAAGTCAGAGCAGGATTCAAATTCCGTGTCCTTGCCTCTAAGGACATTCTCAGCTGCTCTTCTGTCGCAGATTTGGCTGTTCTTTTGTCAACTTACAGGATATTCAATATTTTTTGCCAATACCATAATTTAAAGGTATCAATTTCCCCCCATCTTCCTTATACATTTTCCAACTTTCACACGCATATGAAGTAATTGAAAATACCATAGCTTGGCTCAGGTGCATCTTAGTCTTTAAAGTGGAACCCTTGTTCCTTAGCATTTCAAAGAAGTCAGAGTGAGCAGATTTGCCCAGTGAAGTACATTTGATTTCTTTACTGCTGCTTCATTCAGAGGCATTCATGCATATATTCAGTGCAGGCCACATCCCTGAAGAGGCTTCCCCTTTATCATACACTCACTCACTCATTGGTGTTGACTCAGAGCCAACTCACAACTGACCCTCCAGTGGGTTTTCATATCACTCAGGAGGAGATTGCTCATCTTTCTCCTGAGGACCTGCAGGTAGTAGATTCAAACTGTGCACCTTTGAGTTGGCAATGCAGCTCCCCATCTACTAGGCCACTGAGTGTCATCATATATATTTACATCTTGTTTCATTCCAACACATTTTGCAGAGAATCATGGCCACATTACACTAAACATTTACCAGCATGTTCCCTACACACCAAAAGCCTTCACACTTGAGTATCAAATACCCTGCTTACTGGACCCAAGACAAGGGGCACCCCTTCCCCATGCCTGTAAACTTGGGAGAATTTGGGCCCTGTCCACACCTTGCTGCCACCCCTCCAACTCCTCCCACTCAACAATTTCTTAGTGGCATGACCCACACAGTGCTGGCCTTCACTAACACCTGTCCTTCCTCATACCTAGAAACCAGCCATTGTCCGCCTACTCTGTGCTGCTGGGTTCCATCTCCTCCTATCCTACGGCTAACGAGCCAGGAGAGCTGCGCACTGTGGCCCAATTCATCCTACACCCACAATTCAGCTACACCGAGGAGCATGGCATGGGGGACATCGCCCTAATTCAGCTGGACAGACGTGTCAGCTTCACTGACCTCGTCCTTCCAATCTGCCTTCCCAAACCTGGAGACCCCCTGGGTCCTGACACATGGTGCTATGTTACCGGCTGGGGGACCATTGGCGAAAATATTCGTAAGGAGCGGGGAGGTGTTGGTGGGAGGATTGGGGAGTAAAGGAGGAGCAGTGCTGACCAGCAGCATCTCCCTCGTCAGTCCTTGAGATATAGGATTCCATAGAATAGAAAGAGCAGCCCACTAACCTAGAACCCCTCCCTTCTAAGACCTAGGTCCTGTCCCCTGAAGGATCATGTCCATAGAATGCTGGCTTGCCTAGGTCTACTTGGATTAGCTGGTGCCAGAGCTGTTTACATGACTAAGTAATTCACAGGTCAGTCCACACACAGCCCGTGTCCAGTCATAGTGGGTCTTACGTAGTGATGCCAGATCTGCAATCTCTAGTTAGGAATCCCAGACCAAGAAGGTTGAGGGAGGAGGCAGCCCTCTGGCCTGTCCCTTCCTTGTCTCATCCCCACCAATGGAAGAGATTGACCCCAGGGCTCGAGTGCCAGTTCAGAGAATGGACAGTGTGACCTCCCTCATCTGCTGAGACTTGGCTTCCTCTGACAACTGAGGGTTCCCTCCTGAAAGCCACCTTCACTAAAGAGGGTGAAGAAAGGGTGTGTCCCAGGACTTATGACCAAGCTGGGCTAGAGGGAGGGAAGAAGCAAGGGAGGGCGGAGTACTGGCGAGTGTGTGTACTTGTCACCCCAGCACCCTCACTATCCTCACTCATGTTTGTGAACACTCAGCCTGGGGAACGGAGAAGGGCAGAGTCCCATCCACAGACAGGCAGCCAGAGTCGTGCCCCAACGACTCATGCACAGGTGCTAGGGAGAAGCTTGAGTCCAAGAAGGAAGCCAATGTAGAGCAGTGGTTAAGGCACTCAGCTGCTAACCAAATGATTATTGATTCTAATCCACTAGCTGCTTTGAGGGAGAGAGAGGGGTAGTCAGCTTCAGCTTCTATAAAGATTTACATCCACGAAAAGCCTGTGGGCTCACTCTTTTCTGTCCTATCCTAGGGCTTGGGATCAATGCCATGGTAGATGGTGGTGTTAACCTGAACATCTTCCTAAGGGTGTTTGAGGTTTTTTGCTGTCAAGTCAGTTTGTGATCGCCATGAGTGATTTACGGAACCTGATTTGTGGTTACCCATGTGTGTCAAAGTATAATGGTGTACCACTGGGTGGTGTTTTTTCTCTTTAATTTTTGCTGTTGTTGCTGAGAATATATGTAGCAGAACATACACCAATTCAACACTTTCTCCACACACAGTTCAGTGCTATTTATTCTGTTTTATGTACAAGCTGGCCTTCCTCATCTCCTTGTCTGAGACTTCCTCTCCTATTAGTGTCAACTCCCTGCTCCCTAAGGTTCTAATCTACTCTTTTCAGTTGTTCCAACAGAGATAATTCTTAGAAGAGCATAATTCTCAAGGCAGACATTCATTGCCATTAAAAATTAAAAAAAAATTTTTAGATGATTTCCATCTCCAGCCAGCCAACCAGCCCTTTTACCATACTTGGTGGGTGTTCTTGGAGTGAGTATCCTTTAGGTGTTACTGATTACCTTTTAAGTCCCTCTGTTGTTGACAGTGGAACTACAGGGGTAAGTTTAATGCCAGGCTCCCAGAAGCATAAAGTCTTGGAGGTCCAATCAGCCTCTGTTAGGCTGGTCATCTTTTTTTTTTTTTAGAGTTTTTAAATTTTTTGATTATTATTAATTTTAATGAAAGGTTACAGAGACTTTGGATTTTCATTCATTGCTGGACTTTTCTCCCTACCCAACCCTCCCCCACCCAGTTTACTCTTCTTGAAAAGTAAAAGAAAAATTATTTCATTGTTATACACAATCCCTCCCCCAAGTCCACTCCACTATGCAGCCTTCGTTCTGAAGTTCTGTCATGACAATAATACCTAATCATATATCCCTTTTAAACAGTTCTCTATCTCATCTGTTTCAATGCAACATATATAATTTATCCCCTCTTTTTCAGTCTCCCCCAACCCCGATGTCAGTCACTCTTGTTTTACAACAGTGACATTATGCTGTATTTGTCCCTTTGTGACTGAGATATTTCACACAGCATAATGTCCTCCAGGGTCACCCATTTTGTGTGATATTTCATGAGTTCTTTGTTTTTCAAAGCAGGATAGTATTCAGCATTGTGCGAATATACCACAGCTTCTCTATCCATTCGTTTGTTGATGAGCACTTGGGTTGTTCCCAACTCCTTGCTGTTGTGAACAAAGCTGTGATAAATATGGGTGTGCATTTATGTGCTTGGGTGGCAGGTATGGTCTCTTTGGGGTATATTCCCAGTAGTGGAATAGCTGGGTAAAATGGTTTTTCTATTTGCAACTTTTTGAGAAAGCACTATACTGCCTTCCAATAGTGGTTGCACCATTTTACACTCCCACCAACAGTGAATAAGGGTTCCAGTTTCTCCACAACCTAGCCAGCATTTGTTATTTCTTGTTCTGTTAAATTTTGCTATTCTTACTCAATGAGATGATATCTCATAGTTGTTTTGATTTGCATCTCTCTTAGAGCTAAGGATTTTGAACATTTCTTCATGTGTTTGTGTGCCATCTGAATGTCTTCTTTGGTGAAGTGTCTGTTCATATCCTGTGCCCATTTTTAAATTGGGTTGTTTACCTTTATCTTGTGTGGTGCTCGAGTGTTTCAAAAATTCTAGATATAAATCCCTTATCTGACATGTCATTACCAAATACTTTTCCCCAGTCTGTTAGCCGGTCAGGTCATTTTTATGATTTTGAGGTTTGGTCCATGTTTTTCTCCTGCTCTGCCTCAGACACTTTCCTGTGATCTCATTTAGAAGGGTCAGCAGTGATAGTTGAACAACATCCAGTTCTTCTGATTTGTGAAAAATTGAGATGTGATTCACATAACATAAACTAAACCATTCTAAGTGAACAAGGCAGTGACATTTGGTGTATTTATGACTTCATCTTGCTATGGTTTCACACCATTTCCCATCTGGTCCCTCTGAGCCTTGGATTCTGTCATGTTGGTATAGTTAACAGGAGATCATGGGTGCAGCGTGAGGTCCCATCTGGGTAGGGGGAAGTAGAAGCAGCACAGCAGGGCAGGGAGGAGACTGCCTCAAGCTCTGGCCACCATCTGAGGCTGTTCTCTGCACCTACCCAGCTCTTCCACCACCTTTCACCCTGAAGGAGCTTGCCGTGCCCATCATTGACAGACAGACCTGCGAGAACTACTACCAGGAAGGCTCCAGCCTCAACCAGGGAATGATCATCCAAGATGACATGCTCTGTGCTGGCTTCGAGGAAGGCAAGAAGGATGCCTGTGGGGTGAGCATGGGAATCCCAACCACCCTGGGGCCCGAAGGCAGAGGAGGGTAGCATCCCTTTAAACAAGGGTCCATTCAAGAAAGAAGGAAATACTCCTGGATCCTTCTTCCCATTTAGATCCTGTTTACCATCAAGCCAACTCTGATTTCCAGGGATCTCACAAAGGGCAGAGCAGAAATGCAGCCCACACTTGTTTTTGGTGTTTTTTAGTCACATATTTTTTCACTGTTGAGTATACCCACAGCAAAATATGCAGCAGTTCAGTGATTTCTCCCCACATCATTCAGTGGTGCACCTCCTTTGAGGTGTTCCTCTTCCATTCACATCAACTAGTTGCTCCTTAAAGTTCCTCTCTAACCTTCCCAGTGGCTGGTGTCAGTGTGGTCCCACATAGACAGTCATGGGATTTTCAAGGACTGATTTTTCAGAAGCAGATCACGAGCTCTTTCTTCTGAGGTTTCTCTAAGTGACCCTACAAGGATCAGTTGAGCACATTAAACATATGTAAGACCAAGGGACCCTCCATTTCAGGTATCATAGAAATACTGTCAGAGCATGCAACACCCTAAAGTTGGGGGTTTAAAAAATTTATTTTGGCCTCAAAATTATTTTTATGAACTCATTGCCATCAAGTTTGAATCTACTGACTGACCCTCTAGTGATTTTTCAGAGGCTGTAAAATGCATGCTAGAATTCAACAAAAGTTGGAAATAAGAAGCACTGACAGTTGGAAAATATGGCCTTGATGAGAGATATGAGATTGGAGATTGCATGGTAGAGTTTTACACAGTCAATAATTTATTCATTGCAAAGCATTTAAAAAAAATACAATGGTGACCTGGAAGTCACTTGATGGACTAATAAGAATCAGCTTGACCACATCTATGGAAAGGGATAGTAGAGAAGCTTGATATCTGCAGACAAAACAGGCCAGAATCTCACTGTGGAACAGACCATCAACTACTCACATACAATTTCAAATTGAAGGAGAGCAAAAGGAAACAAGTCCACAAGAACCAAAACACAACCTTGAGTGTATCTCAACTGAATTTAAAAACCATCTCAAGAATAGGTTTAATGCACTGAACACTAATGACCGAATACCAGATGAGATGGGATAACATAAAAAACATGATTTATTAAGAAAGGAAAAGGCCATGACAAAAATAGGGGATAAAGACTAAAATAGAGGTCAGAAGAGACTCTGAATCTAGACTAGAATGCAAAGAAACCAAAACTTGGGGGGGGGGAATGATGAAGAGAGATGAGCAAAAATTTTCAAAGACATCTCAAGAAGACAGACAAAATATTGTTAAAAATTGCGCAAACAGCTGGAGTCAGAAAACACGCTCTACATTTCTCAAGTGGAAAGAACTTACATTTTAGTGGTGAGCTGCAACACTGAAACATCTGAATGATGCAGAAAGCATCAAAAGCTGATGGGAAGAGCACAGAGTCATTGTACCAAAAAGAATTTGCTGACATGGAAACTTTTCAGGAAGTTGCATATGATCAAGAACTAACAGCACTGAAGGAAGAAGTCTAAGCTGTATTAAAGGCTTTTTTGGGGGGGAACCCCACAAAACCCAAGGAACTGATAGAATACCAATTGAGATGCTTCAGGAAACAGAAACAGCCCTGGACATGCTTACTAGCCTATGCCAAGAAATTTGGAAGATATCTATCTGGCCAATTAATTGGAAAAGATCCGCATTTGTTCCTATTTTTAAAATAGTGATCCAATAGAATGCAGAAATTATCAAACAATATCATTAATGCAAGTAAAATATTTTTTAATGAATTTTAATGAAAGAGACTTAGGATTTCCAGTCATTCATTGTTGCACTTTTCTCCCTGCCCACCTCCTCCCCCCAATTCACTCTTCTCCTCGAAAAGTAAAAAAAAAACTCTTTCATTGTTATGCAATCCCTCCCGCCAAGTCACTCCACTGTGAAGCCTTCATTCTGGACTCCTATCATGACAATAATACCCAATCCTATATCCCTTTTAAACAGTTCATCTGTTTCAATGCAGTACACATTATTAATCCCCTCCTTCTCTGTCTTCCCTCAACCCCTATGTCAGTCCCATTTTACAACAGCGGCCCTATGCAACATTTGTCCTTTTGTGACTGAGATTTTTCACCCAGCATAGTGTCCTCCAGGGTCACCCATTTTGTATATTTCATGAGTTCCTTGTTTTTCAATGCTGCATAGTATTCCATTGTGTGAATGTACCAGAGCTTCTCTATCCACTTGTTTGTTGATGGTACTGCAAGTAAAATCTTACTTGAACAGCATATTGACAAGGAACTGCCAGCAATTCAAGGTGGATTGTGCTACAGCATAAGATATATCATTGCTGAAGTCAATGGATCTTGGCCAAAAGCAAAGAATACCAGAAAGATATTTACTTGTGTATTATTGATTTGACAAAGGCATTTGACTGTATGAGTCATAATCAAGTATAACTAACAGTGAGAAGAATGAAATCCAAGAACACTTCACTGGGCTCATGCAAAACCTATAAATAAACTAAGAACTAGTTGACTGATCAGAACAAGTGAACACTGCATAATTTAAAATCAAGAAGGGTGTGAGTCAGGGCTGTATTTTCTCTATTCAATCTGTATGCTGAGCAAATCATTTGAGAACCTGGACTATATGAAGAAGAATGTGCCATCAAGATTGGAAGAAGAGTTATCAGCAATTTGCATTATGCAGATGTCCCAACCTTGCTTGCAGAAAGTGGAGAAGACTTGAAGCAGTTACTGAAGAAGTGCAGTCTTCAATAGGAATTATATCTCAACATTAAGAAAACATTCTCACCACTGGACCGATAGGCCACATCATGATAGATGAAGAAAAGACTGAAGTTGTCAAAGGTTTCATTTTACTTGAATCCACAATCAACACCCTTGGTCAAGATTCAAGAGACCTGTTGTATCGGGAAAATCTGCCGTCAGGGACCTTTTTAGAGTGTTCACCAGTGGGCCAATTGGCAGCACCATGAGAAATTTTATAGATTCATTGTTTCATTTAGTGTTTTAAAGGTTCAACCTTGTGAATGGGTCACACATGCTGCTGCTGGGGGCTGGTGAGCCGGTTCTGACGTAGCCAGCTGCATGCGTGCTGAAGGCTGAGGTTCTGCCCAGCCCTGTGCCGTCCTTACAACCTCTGCTGTCCTGAGTCCAGTTTGCAGTCACTCTGCCAATCCATGTGACTGAGGGTCTTCCCGTTTTTTTGCTGACCTATCACTCCTAATTTACATTGTTTTTGGAATCAAAGTCTATAATCACTTGTTATTTTTTCTCATGTCTGAAAACAGTGGAAGAAATATTTCTACGGGGGATATTCCTTTCTTTCTTTTTTTTTTTAATTCACATATTGTTGTTGTTGTTGATTGTCATGAGTCAAGCAGTCAAGCACGATTCATAGTGACCCTATGAACAAAAGACTTGAAGCCTATCATTGTTTCTCAAAATTCATAGCATTTCCAGAGGCATGTTGTTTAGGAAGTACATGCCACTCCTGCTTGGAAAGACTTTAAGCATGAAAAGTAGAGATTCAGGGACAGACCACTTCCCTGCTATTTTCACCAACTTGAGCTGTGAGGTTGTCACATCCCTCTTCCTGCTTCAAAGGAGCCCTGGTGGTGCAGTGAGTAAACGTTCAGCTACTAACTGAAAGGTCAATGCTTTGAGTCTGCCTTCAGCTCCCAGGAAGACAGATGTGGTCGTCTGTTTCTGTTAAGATTTGTGGCCTTGGAAACGCTCAGGGGCAGTTCTGCTCAGTCCTGCAGGGTCCAGAGTCCACTCCCCGGTAATAACTTCTTGGGCGGATGGGTGTTAATACTCTATTTTGAGAACAGACTGCCTGTTCCATGTTTGTTCCATCAGCCAGGGTCCACCTCCCTTAAGTCCCAGACCAGTCACTCCTGCCACCTTCCAGGGCCACCTGACCCTTTGATCCTCCTAAGTGGTGGTCAGCTGTGACCCTTGTTCCAATTCATAAGGAGGCAGCTGACTCCAGTGGCCCAATTCCTGCAGCTTCTCTACCACCTGCTCCTTTTTCTTTCCAGGGTGATTCCGGAGGGCCTCTGGTCTGTGAGATTGGTGGCCTCTGGGCTCAGGCTGGAGTGGTGAGCTGGGGGTTTGGCTGTGGCCTCCCCAAGAAGCCTGGCATTTATACTAACGTGAGCTTCTACACAACGTGGATCAGAAACACCATAGGAAACTCAGGTCATAATTCTGCAAACTTCTCTCCAAGCTGGACGTCCATCCTCCTCTTTGCCCCGTTGCTGCTTCAGGGACTGCTTGGCTAGCCCATATCCCAAGCTTGCCGATTCCTCCACCCACCTATTCCTTAGGGAAGCTCTTCCTTCCTGCTCCTTGCTCAACACCAATACCCACTTGGCAACCTCTCCTGGTCTCCCACCCCTCAGGGATGCAGGAGTGGGAGTGGGGATGGGGCTTCTAGGACTCTCAGAACCAGTTTCCAACCCATGAGGCTGGTGTCTTCACCCTTGCAGAACTGTTTGTTTTGGAACAATAATGTTAGTCTGGGCAAAGAGGGCCAAAGAGAAGAATGAAGAATTCAGAACTCAAATGCTGATGGCCTTGCTTGTTGAAGATAAAACAGCCTTGCCTGTCTGACTAAGCTAGCAGGGGGCTTGTAAATCAGAGTGGACTGTCCCTCCCTAAAGACTCTGTTTATAAAAATCCTCCCCAGTAAGTTCACAGTGTGACTTCCCATTCTGCCTCTCCAGGATGAGGAACTCACCCGGGGGCTCCCCTTTCCCCCCTTTAATAAAGCTGCATTAAGCTTTCTCTCATTCTCTCTGATTTCTTCTTTAAGTCCACTAACCTAACCTAACAAATAAAGATGGTACCTGGGGGACTCCCTTCTCCAATGGAGAGTCACCCTGTACTGTGTGCCCACAGGCTCCTCTGGGGTCCTGCATCTGGGAAGGGGATCCTATTTATAAGTGTCCTCTGATGCTGACAGCAACCCCCACTCCACTCCGCAATTATCAGACACTGGTGGCTGGGTATTCTAGGACTTGCCCAAGCTCACCCTCCTCAGCATCCCTGTCCTTGCAGGGGGCGCCAAGGGGGATGCCCTTAGTTGGGAGAAGAACTCCTTTTGAGTCCCAGCTGGTGCTTTCCTGACCCAGCAGAGGGCTAAGCCATGGACCCTGGCTTCTTGCTACCTAGTTGCTACTCAGCCTGGGGCACTGGTCTGCCTGGGCTCAGAGACTGCATGGATGGGGAAGAAGAAGGGCTGGAAGTCAGTCTCAAAGTCATGACCAGATGAAAGGTAAGTTCTCAGGTTCAGGAAGGGCTGGGACCAATCCTGTGGTGATTGGAGGGTCTGGGGTCATAGTGAGGACTGAGGTCAATCCTGGACATGGCTGGGAGTCCATACATTATCACAGGCAGGGCTGGCATCAATGCCAGAGTCATCAGTAAACATGGGATCAGTCTTAGGGTCATGGGCAGAGTTTGGGGTCAGTCTTATGGTCATGGGCAGAACTACAGTCTGATTTGGGATGGAGGTGTTGCTGGCTCACATAGCCTGGACTTGATGGCACCAGGTTGGGACCAGGCTGGGCTTCCTGTGGTTTCTTGTTTTCCTCTCCTCCTTCCCCAGAATCTAGACACCACTCTTTCAAGAGAAGCCTGAATGGCTGGAGATTTGTTAGAAGACAGAGGCCAGGCACACTGTACCCCTCTACCCCAGCAAGGGCAGGAAGAGGGGCAGGTGGTCTGTCCAGGGCCACCTCTGGGTTCAGGTCTGGCTCTCCCTCTCGCAGTGTCTCAGTGGTCACACTTTCCCATGGCTCACATTGCCCGTGAAATCAGAGTCTTCCCTCCTACAAGCCTCCATGGAAAGACCTCCAGGACAATCCCCCATCATGCGCCAGTAGACTTGACACCATACAAGGTGATCAGTTCAGTTGGTATAGGGAGAAGGATGTTGAGCCCCTCTGCCCCCATCCAGAAGACCCCTCCTCACCCACCACACACCTATGCACCCTCCTCCTATGGGCTCAGTAAGAGGGCAAGTTGGTGGGAACTGACCTCTCCCAGGTCAAGCTGTCACAACAAAATCAGGAATTCACCTTCCCCGTTGTGGTGTACCCTCGAGTTGGCATTGATCCACAGCTGACGCTCCATAGCTGACCTTCCAGCGGATTTTCAGAGACAGTATATTGCATGGGAGGAGACTGTCCATCCTTCTCCTGTGGAGCGTTTGGTGGTTTTGAACCGCATGCCTTTGGAAATGTAATGCAGTTTCTTACCACTAGGTCACCAGAGCTCCCACCTTCCCCACTAGAACCCTTAAAAAGGTTTTCTCTTTACAGCAGCAGACACAGAAGACGGTCCCAAAGGGCACCCAATAAGGACTTGCCATGAGCTTGATGGGTCCTCGGTGTGGTGTGGGCAGGCCCTTGTCCAGAGGAACGGGGGCAGCCAAGCCCTGGGGTGTCCACAGAAGAGAGGAGTCGTCAGAGAGAGCCGTTTCTGAGGGTCACCAGGCGTGATTCGCCCCACTGGGAGCCTGAAAGGGACGCCTTTTGAGGGGTGGTCTTGGGACGGGTGGGCCTGGGCCTCCGCGCCCTCCCTCGCCCCCAGGGGGCGCTCGCGGGTGCAGAGGCCTCATCCCAGGGGGCGCCAGGCCCGCGTGAGGAGCTATGCGTGCACTGTTGCTGTGGCTGCTGCTGGCGCAGGCAGAGCTAGGATCGAGTGCGACCACTCCGACCACCCCGCTGTCCACCGGGTCGCCGGGTGGGGTCCGGCAACCCGAGACCACAGGTCAGGGCGGGGACACGCGCTCCTCGGGGCAGGGCTCCCAAGGCACTGCGAGGGGTCCCTCACCTTTCCTCTCTCCCTCCTTGCAGGTCCGGGAAAGCGGACCATGCTCTCGAGTAGGTGATGGTCAGGACGAGGGTGTGAAGGTCAGGCGGAAGCGGGGCGTTGGGGCCAAGGGGGCTCCAGGGCAATCTTTCTGTCCTTTACTGGGATGCTGCGGCCAGTGTAGCTGTCCCCCGAGCTCAGCCACGTGTCCATCTTCCCCCACCAGCTCCCTGTGGACATCGAGAGACCCCTGCGCGCATAGTGGGCGGCCTGGAGGCACAGCTGGGGAGCTGGCCCTGGCAGGGCAGCCTGCGCCGTTGGGGCAGCCACGTCTGCGGGGCGAGTCTGCTCAACCACCGCTGGGCACTGACCGCTGCTCATTGCTTTGAAGGGTGAGTGTGGGGGTGGCAAGGTCAGCGCCGTCTTTTGTGTGCTTGCGCCATTCTCTATGGACAGCAGTTTTGAACCATGACTAAGCCAGAGCTGACCTGCTCGACTAGGCCCTCTGTCCCTGATCCCACATGATGGGCACCGGGACCACAGGTGTGAAAGAAGTCACCAGAGATGAAGGACAGTCTAGTGTGTGGGTGCCTCTCACTGGGGTCCCGGGAGGACTTATCCCTCTGTTGGGGCCGATGCCCACCGCCCACCGTCCTGCTTGGGCACCTGCAGCTCCAGGTTCTGAATCAGACTGGCTAAGCCACAGGAGAAGGAGGTGGTGCAAACCCCAAATGTTCCAAGGGAGAGGCCCCAGGCGAGCCGGGTGGCTTCTCTGACGCTTGTGCCCTTCTTGGCCAGGTCTAGCTCCACCTTCCCTTGGAGCATCCAGTTTGGCGAGCTGTCCTCAGTGACATACCTCTGGAACCTGCGGGCCTACAGGAACCGTTACCAAATAGAGAAGATCGTGCAGAACCCTAACTTTCTTGGCTCCTCACACTATGACCTCGCCATGCTGAAGCTGTCCTCCTCTGTCACCTACAGGAAGCACATCCAGCCTGTCTGTGTTTTGAGCTCCTTCTTCGAGTTCCAGAACCGGACTGACTGCTGGGTGACCGGCTGGGGAAATATCCAGGAGAACGAGTGTAGGCTGAGGGACAGGCGGGTCTGGGAAGAGATACTCTCTGAGTTCACATGCTCAGCTACTTTAGATCCAGCAGCCTCCACCGAGGTGGCCAGGTGACAGGGGGCCTCCCTTTGGCCCAGCTTGGAGACTAACCTTATTTTCTTGGACTTTTAGACCAAACTCTCCCTTCTTGCTCTGGCCAGAGCACGTGGCCTGCTGCTGGTGGTGGAGAGGGCGGCTGACTCTGCTGCCAGGTGTTGCTATGGGCTCTGGAACCTGGGCCAGGGCAGAGTTATCTTTGCTTCTCTTGAAAAATCACTTTGTCATGAGGTTGGATAAGGAAGGTTTTTCAATACCCATTTTAAGATGATGAAATTGAGATTTAGTGAGCTATGGGAATTGCACCAGAACTAGTAAGTGGAGGATAGCCAGGTTCTGTTGGCCCAGAGAAGGAAAGAGACTTCTCTGAGGTCACTTTGCATCCTGAGGGAGCTTCCATGGTAGCTAGGCCCCTGGTAATGTGGGAGTGCTGGCATATGCTTCTGCTGAAAAGGATGATTGGGTGTGAGCCAGGGGACAGCCAGAGGACACTGTCATGGGTCTGGCCCCTGCAGCTGGGCCTCACCCTCCAACCTCCAGCTTGTGGCCCCTCCATGTGCTCTCAGGGGGCTCCTTTCTGTCCTTGTGTTTACAGATCAGGAAACCAGGTCAGGGCAGAACTAGAACAGCCTGCCTGCCCTGGCTTGTTCTGAGGCTTGTGTGAGGTGACGAGAGCCCTGTCCCAGGTCCCGTGGGGAGCCTGCAGCTTGTCTCAGCTCACTGTCTCCTGCCCTTCCAACAGCTCTGGTGTCTACCTACAACCTCCAAGAAGTGCAGATCTCCATCATCAACACCAGTGTGTGTAACCATATGTTCGAACAACCCGACTTTCTCAAGACCATCTTTGGAGACCTGCTTTGTGCTGGTGCAGTAGAAGGTGGCAGAGATGCCTGCTTTGTAAGTGTCTCCCCTGATCTCTACCAGAGCCTCTGAACCCTGACATCCCAGTCCTTCCACAGCCCTGCCCTCATCCTGGAGTTTGGAAACCAAATCAGCCATTGCTCCTGGTTTCCCAAGAATTGTGCTTCATGCTGGCGCCAGGAGGCCTGGCTCATTGTGCCTCTTTTCAGATGCAGAGACTGAGTTGCTGAGCTGTCTGCTGTGCAGCCCCTCCCCTTACTCTGTACTGCCCTTTCCGGTCCCACACCAGTTTACACATACTGCTCCCCAGGGTGACTCCGGTGGACCCTTGGTCTGTGAAGTGAGCAGTGTGTGGTATCAGATCGGAGTTGTGAGCTGGGGTATGGGCTGTGGTCGTCCCAACCGACCTGGCATCTACACCAACGTCAGTGACCACTTCTGGTGGATACAGAGAGTGATAGCTGATGGCACACCTGGGACAGAGCTCTCTTCGCTGCTGCAACTACTGCTGCTGGCTCTGCCTTGGGGTCCGCTGTGCCTGCAACTGTCTTGAACGCTTGGAGCCTGTGGGTGGGTATGACGGTGTTGACATACTACCCATGGTTGCAGCACCCTCACTGGGTCCTGCTGGTTCCCTTCTGTCCCCTTTGAGAATAAACATATGATTATATTTACGCTGAAACCTTAATGGTTCACCTTCTTTACCCAAATACACTCCATCAGCCTGCACCTTTCCCCCACATCTCTTCCCTGCCTGCATTTTCAGATTTTAGGTGATGACAGTTGATTCTCTGGTCACTTCAATCAGAATAGTGATTAGTGGAAGGTGACGCTAGGTTCTTGGGGGGCCAAGGAGGCTGTAAAAGAAATTCAATAGAGTTCTGTCTCAGGCTGGGCTCTTTATTTTTTCTAGTAGAACAAATCATATTCTTTTATTAAAGAAGTGCCATTTTTTTATTTAGCTTTCTGACTTTGTGCCTTCAGTACTTTCACAACTCTTTTCTGCTCCTCAGTAAGGAAAGCTTGCATGATCCTGCCATGCACACTCAGCACATGTGGAACCACCATAAGCTCTGCCGACAGGATTTTTGGTTTTGACAACCTCTCAAGATCTTTAGGTCTCACAGCATGGAATCCTGTTAGTTGGCCTGGGCACACACCACATGCAGATTTTGGTGCTTGCCCAACCTTCTTGGTATAAAGGTAAGCAATTCTATTACCAGGGGTTTGGGACAGCCTAGTTCTGTTAGAGGCTGTGTTGTAGGACAGCCTATGATGACAGGTCAGATGCTGGACCATTCTGAATGCCTCTACACAGCATCTCCGGAAGAGGAAAACAATAGGCTGGTCTCTTCAGAGGTAAAGATATATTGGCTCTTGTTCTTTTTTTTCTATCTATTCTCTCTCTCTCTCCCATCTCTGGTGGCCTAGTGTTAAGGAATTGCACTGTCAAACCAAAGGCACACGGTTCAAATCTGCCAGCTCTTCTAGGTCAATCAACTCCTGTGTGATTTACTGCCTCTGAAAACCCTCTGGAGGGTCAGCTATGAGTCAGTCCTTACTTGACAGCAAACAACAGTAAATCTATCTACCTATCTATCTATCTATCTATCTATCTATCTATCTATCTATCTATCAAGAGAAGGATATGCTAATCAGTGGTTTGAATAGACAGCTGCTTCCTGGGAAGATGATGGTCAGTCTTTCCCACAAAGATTTAAAGCCTTGAAAAACTGTTGGAGGATTGCCATGAGTCAGAATGACTTGATAGCACCAGGTGTGCATTGAGATTTGCTTCAGTGGAAGGGTGCATGCATATGTAGATGCTGGCAAGTTCCAGGACTGTGGTCAGATCTCAGAAGAAAGACGTTTTGGGAGGTTAGTAAGTCATAAGTTGGGAGGTAGGGAAATAGGCTGCTGGCTTTAGGGGCAGATAAATCCAAAATTAGCTAGGAAGGCAAGGTGCTGGATCAACTCCCAAGGTGATGAGCCAGATACAGGATCCAAATTGACAAAAACCTCTCTGGCCTTACCATAAAGACTTAAAGTACCAGGAACCCTACAGAGTGTTGCTGTGAGTGGGAATCTATATGACAGCAGTGGGTTGGATTGGGTGGGTGGCCCATGTACAGATAATTGGAGAGCCAGACAAGAAGAGACAGAGGATCAATCAAGATGTGACCGATAAGAGAGAAGTGTCATAAAGTATAATCCTGGAGATGAATAAGTTCTACAGGGGGACATTTAGTCCATACATGGTGATTGTTAGAAAAAAGAGGAGAGAGAGATAAACGGAGAGCGAGAGAGAGAGGGGGAGAGGGAGAAGGAGAAAGAGAGAAAGAAGCTGGTACCAAGAAATGAACAGGCCTTTATCGTGTGCACTGAGAGGGACACCAAGTGACCGCTTGCAGAGAGGATCAGGGTGATGTGTAGGCAAAGATAGCTTCATTTTAAAGGGGCTTTTAGGGAGACTCAGAGAGGATGGTAGTGTTCTTCGGAATTTGAGGACAGGAGTCCTGTCAATGTCTGATTAGGCACAGGGCTTCTTCAGAATCTGGTCATCTAGTCGCCTTATCAGGAGATAGACACTACCAAGTTTCTTCAAGGAATGATCAGGCCTGGGGGCAACTGCAATGACATTCTTCTTCCAGTGATGGGGAAAAGATAGTAACCTCCACGTAGAGAAGTCTGGCCCTGTGAACAAGAGATAGAAACTGCCTGGTCCTGAGCCCTTATCACAATCTTGACATGTTGAAGTCCATTGTTGCAGTCACTGTGCCAGTCCATCTTATTGAAGATCTTCCTCTCATTGGCTGAACCCTTTTGCAGGCAGCTCGATTAAAAAAAATGGATGTAGAGGTCATCTAGGGGAGAGTGAGAGGTCAACTGCAGGGCAGAGCGCTAGTGCAGGGAAGTAGAAGGTGGCGCCTTAGCCTTACATCATAGTGATGTTGTTGTTGTATGTCATCCTGTGGGAACCGACAAATAGCTGACCTCCAGCAAGTTTTCAGGGTGGTAAATCACAGAGGTGGGGATTGCTCATCCTTCTCCTGAAGCTGGTGTATTTGAACCATGCCTACCTGTGTTTCACTTTGGGTTGGCAATGTAGCTCCTTACCACCAGGCCACCAGGGCTCCCTCATAGGGATCTAGTGCTAGTATAATAGAAATCCCACAAGTGGATAGCTTTAAGAATCAGACATATCTTATTTATAGTTTCAGAGACTAGAAGTTCAAATCCAGGGGGGCAGCTCTAGAAGGAAGACCTTGTCAGTTGTGAGGAAGGTCTTTGCTTCCTTCAGCATCTGTAAGCCAGAATTCCTTGGATATGCCCGTATCTCCTGTCCTTTCCTGGTGCTTCTTCCCTCAGAGACTCAAGTCCAAAAAGATAAAGTCCATTCCTGACAATTCTTTCTTTATAGTAGTGAGGTTCTCCTTACTCGGTTTGCATTCTTCCCTTCTTGTTAGGAATGGGCTGCAATTAAGGGGTGTTGAATTCCATTCTGAAAATTTTTACAACTGTTTGGATTATGAGGTCATGGGAGATCATTTTATACCTTCCACATTATATGATCACTTACATGTACACTGGGGGACACAATTCAGTCTATGACACCTTTCTCCTTGCTCAGGCCATGAGGATATAGCATGAGCAAGCAGAGTGAAAGGAAGCGTGAGTGTCAATGAGAGAGGGGCCTCTAAGAAGGACTTCTGAGAGATGTTTAAATTCCAAAGGAGGGGAGAAAAGAAGTTCAGCAGTCCTGCAGTTGCTTTTATCTGAAGGTCAGGAGGGCCTTAGTTTTGCAAGAATGTTTCGGTATTTAGGCCAGCTGACTGTGCAAAGGCATTTGACTGTGTGGATCACAGCAAATTGTGGCTAACCTTGAGAAGGATGGGAATCCCAGAACACTTAATTGTGTTCATGAGAAACCTATACTTAGACTTGGAAGCAGTTCTCAGAACAGAGCAAGGAAACACTTGCATGGTTCAAAATCAGGAAAGGAGTGTCTCAGGATGCTTCTTGTCTGCATACTTTTTAAATCTGTATATGAAGCAGATTACTTAGGAGGCCAGACTTTATCAAGAACCTGGGTTATGCAGATGATACAACCTTGCCTGCTGAAACTGAAAAGGACCTGAAGCGTTTGCTGCAGAGGGTCAAGGACTGTAGTCTTCGATATGAATTGAAGCTCAACATCATGAAAACAAAGATTCCCACCACTGGTTCAATTGGCAATACCACAATAGATAGAGAAGAGATTGAGGATGTTAAAAATTTCCACTTGCTCGGCTCCATAATCAACACTCTTGGCACCAGCAGTCAGTAAATCAAAAGGTAAATTGCATTGAGGAAGTCTTCTGTCAGGAACCTTTCCAGAGTACTGAAGAGCAATGATGTCAGTCTAGAGACTAAGGTACGCCAGATCCAGGCCATAGCTTTGCAATACTTGCTATACCTTAAAGAACTAAACAATGGCTAAGGATGACAGAAGAATCAATGCCTTTGAGTTGTGGTGCTGGGGAAGAGTATTGAACATATCATGGACCACCAAGAGAACAAACAAGTCTGTCTTAGGGTAAAATCAAGTTTCTTCTTGGAGGCAAGGATTTTAAAGCTGTGTCTCACATACTTTGGGCACATGGCCAGGAGGAAGCAGTCCTTGGAAAATGACATCATGCTTGGAAGGGTGGAAGGACAGCACAGGAGAGGAAGACCCAGATGAGATGGATTGATACAGTGACTGGGGTAAAGAGGATAGGTGTGTCAGAGTCAATGAGACTGGCTCAGGATAGGGCAGGCTTCAGAGTTATTGCACATAGGGTTGCTATGAGTCACAGGTGACTGGATGGTACTACCACCATCAACAATAGCACTGGACCAAAAGCATGTGTGTTAACAAGAATATTCCCTTATATAGAATGTGAGGATGTACTTGGGACTTACCACTCTCTATGCTCCTGAAACTGTTTCTGCCCCTTTAAATCCCTGCTGCTGCTTTGAAACTACCAATGAGAAAACTCAACAACTGCTCCTTTATCCACTTCCCTATAAAAAGTTCAAGCCAGAGCAATTCAGGGAGTGTAGCTATTCTGGACATTGATCCTGCTGTTGCTCTGCCGGCTGAATAAACACTTTCCTCCTCACAAATCAGGTGTACAGGAGATTCTTTTCTCTCCCTTGGTCTCATCTTCCTGCAATGCCAGAAGGAGGAAGCCAAACAGGACAAGTGTCTTGCTGATTCCTTGTGCTTTTCTGTCTCTTCCCCTGTGCTGGCTTTTCCTTGCAGGGAGGGTAGTACCATGTCAGTGTCTACAGCCCCAAATAGTAAAACTGAGCTTCATTTTCACCACAATGGGCCCAGACAGTGGCATTCTGTATTGTAGAAATAAAAGCAAGGCTCTTATGGGGACCTCTTATAGGGTCTTCATTCTATTTGAAGGAGCTCTGGTGGCCTTGTGGCAAGAAGCAGCTCTGCAATCCCAAAGACACGTAGTTTGAGGTCACCATCCGCTCTGTGGGAGGCTGGGCAATCTTCTCCCATGCGATAAACTA